CTTGTAACACATCCGTGATTAGGACATGTCTTTATAGCATCATCAAAGATCCACAACCTTCCCACAAGACAACCATGGTGCCTCAGGTCTAAGGACTAATTTGCATTATTGCAACTTGGAGTTTCTTGTTTGACATATAAGTAAAATTTCCATACAAGAAACTCTCGTTTGATCGCGTTCAGTGAACTCATTCTCTATTGAGCACCTACATACTTGTCTTAGTGTCTCCACACGAATGACTTGAGACCAGTCATCCTCCCAATTGAGAAGACATAGCATGTATCGGTCTTTCCGGATTGTCAGTGCCCATTTGACAATCCTATGACTAGGAACATTTAGGGCATGAAGATAATAGAGGAAAGGTCTCCTGAATCTAACTTCCTTAGATTACTTTCTCTCTATCTCACATCCCTTGGACTTATTGTTTAAGCATGTGTAACTGTTAATGAGACATTTACTAATAAACAATAAACTTGCCCTTTAAGAGGATTAAACATAAGTCTAATACATGAAATATCCATAAAAGATTACATCATATGATTGGCTTTTAGGGCATATTTCCAACATTACTTATGTCTCTATTGTCCCCTTTTGAATTTTACTTTTCCAGAATTATTACCTGTATAAAGAATTTAGCATTTTTCATGTTTAATACTCGTATTGTACATGTATGTACGTAATTTTCATGTTTAATACACTTGGTTTTGTACAAATTTTTTTAATAATACATATAAAATTCACGTATCATACACATAATTTTCGCATAATATTGAATAAAAATAATTTATTTTTTAAAAATTTAAATTTATAAAGTATATATATCGAACTAGCAAATTAATATATATAAAGTATAAACTAATGCAAATGGAGTTGTCCTCTTTTTATAATTTTTTAAAAATAAATCGTATAGCCGCACGGCTATACTTCTTTTAAATGTAAGGGTTATTCGCAGCAATGGTCCCTCAACTATACCCGTAGTTACACTTTGGTCCATCAATTCAATTATTAGTTGCCAGAGTCACTCAACTAGGTGCTTTGTTGCACCAGTAGTCCTTCCGTCAAGTCTGTTAAATTTTCTGTCAAAAGTGAGGGTAAATTCGGAAATCCATGATAAGAAAATATTTTAAAACCTAAAAAAGACATGGCCCTAGAACTCCTCAATGTCGTCGTTTCGGGGAATGGGTCTGTGGCGTCTTCGTCTTCATCGTCTTCGCACTACGCATCAGGGTACATCGTGCACCCCGACACAACACAAAAAGGGCTTTGCCGCATACCCACTTCCTTCCTCTCTCTCGCTCTCTATACTCGAGCTTAGGCTTGGCTACTCTCTCTCTCTCTCTTCGAACCTCCGTTTCTCTTTGTATTTGTTTGATCTTGTGCTCTCTTCTAATTCAATCTCTCTGTAATTGCGCGTGCGTGTTTGTAAATGGCTGCCGCGAGGATCGAGCGTGGCGATCTGTGGAAGAACAAGGCCCTGTCCGTACAGCTCCGGCTCAGGAAGTGGTTAAGAGTGGAGGTGGACCGCCGGCTCAAGCTCCACCCTCATTTTACAGACGACGGTTACTTCTCAAATCAAAGCTTTGGTCATCAAGGTTTTGAAGGAGCCCGAGCGCGACCGCAAGAAGACTAAGAACATCAAGCACAGTGGAAACATCTCTCTAGAAGATCATGAAGCACAGATCCATGGCCAAGGAGCTTGCCGGCACGGTGAAGGAGATTCTTGGCACCTGCGTATCCGTCGGGTGCACGGTCGACTGGGCTGTTGCTGTGAGGCTCTTTCTTTTTCTTTTGCTGAATTAAATTTTTGTTTAAGGGTATGTCGTTTTGGATAATTTGTGGATTAATTTGGAGTACGTTATTAAGATCATTAATCACTCTTTTTATGGCAATTTAGATGAGTTGGAGGGTTTTTGTAACCTAGTTTCTTAGTTGTGTTCATTTGATTGTTGCTATTGTTTGCTTTGTGTGTCGATTTTAGTATGAATGGTCATTTGTTGAATGCAAAATGCGGTAGCTTTGGTAAAGGGTTTTGATTTGAGCTTCCAATAATGGAAAACCAAAGCTTTCTTGAGTTTTAATAACAATTTCAATCTTGAAATTTGAGGATACCCAACCAGGCAACTCCTACAGCCTGTTGCTCCCCATTTGAGTTCAAGGAGCTGAAGAAGGCTAACTGAAAAGTCAGATTTGCCCCTCACGAATCTATGAGATTCTCAAAGATGCTTGCCACGTCATCATTTTAAACGGAAAAAACTAACGGACTTGACGGAAGGACTATTGGTGCAACAAAGCACCTAGTTGAGTGACTCCGGCAACTAATAATTGAATTGATGGACCAAAGTGTAACTACGGGTATAGTTGAGGGACCATTGCTGCGAATAACCCTAAATGTAATATGCTTAAAGAGTATAGCTGTTCGGCTATGCGTTTTTTGACACGTGGACTCCGGGGGTTTGGTGGTTTTTTTTTAAATTAAAAAAATAGTATAGTCGACCGGCTATACTCGGGAATTTTTTTTTAAAAAAAGAAGAATATAGCCGTGCGGTGTTACTGGGGTTGTTTTAGGGTTTAGGGTTCAAAATTTTTTTCACTAATAGTATAGCCGTGCGGCTATACAGTGGATTTATAAAAAACGTATAGCCGGTCGGCTTTACTGGGGTCTTTTTTTAATTTTTTTTAATGAATAGTATAGCCGGGCGGCTATACACGTTACAAAGATACTGTGATCTTTTAAAAAAAAAGTGTTTTTCCTTGTTTTTTGTTTATTAATAGTTTAGATCATTATCCATTACTATTAGGCCATTTGTGTCTCTATTGTCCCCTTTTGAATCTTTACTTTTCTAGAGTTATTACCTATATAAAAAATTTAGGGTTTTCATGTTTAATACACTTTGCTTTTTACAAAATTTTTAACAATACAGACAAAATCCACTTATTATACACATAATTTTTGCATATGATTGAATAAACATAATTTATTTTAAAAAATTTAAATCTATAAAGTATTTATATCGAAACTAGCAAATTAATATCTATAAAGTATAAATTAATGCAACTAGAAGTGTCTGCTTTTTATAATTTTTTTTGAATAAATACTATAGCCGCACGACTATACTCCTTTTAAATATAATATTTGAATATATTCATGTTGTGTTTACTAATCAGGAATTGAAATTCTCATTATGAATTGAATTTCGCCTGTGGAGGATTCCTGCGTTTACTTCACATCAAGAAATTAAAAGGTAAGTGGGGCCCATATAAAATTAGGAATTGAATTCCTGATTTTGGAGGAATTCAATTCTTGGGTGAGAGGTGGTATTCTAATTCATGGAGAACTAACTCATTAGGAATTCATCTTTTTTACCCATTATATCCTTACACAATTTTTAAAATTCCAAATTTGCCATCTACTTTAACCCTACAATAAGGACATTTTAGTAATTAGTATCACTCATATCCCAATTTCATATGATTTTAGTAAACAACTTCAATAGGATTTCAGAATCTAACTCTCTTCAATCCATATGGTTTAGTAAACAACTTCAATAGGAATCCGAAATCTAATTCTCCTCAATCCAACTCTTCCTCAATTCAATTCCTCCTAATTAATGACGGATTAGTAAACATGCCATCAAAGAGTATAGCGGTACGGCTATTAAAATATTCAAATTTATTTAATGAATATAGCCGCACAACTATACATTTAAAATATTTTAATTTATTTAAAGAGTATTGCATTAAAATATTCGAATATATATTTGCTTCTTTATGTATTTGAAGTTCTAATAAATGAAAATATGAAAAACAATGGAATTCTTTTCTAGCTGGCTTTCATTTATTTATTTTCTTCTTCGTTTGTTTTGCTACGCAGATAATCTTCGTTATCGTCGAGATTTTAGGTTTTCATGCAGCATCACTCCATTTTATACTCCGAGCTAATTGGAAAAGACTTCAGCTTTGCTTCTGTGCGACGTCGTTTGGCCAAAGAACCGTTTGACAGAGCCAACAGCCGCCAAAACCAGACCAGAACTCGAGTCTCAATGGAGAAAGGTGGGGTAGACTCTGCCGGCCGAGAATTCAAGAACGCAGAGGAGATGTGGAGAGAGCAGGTCGGAGAAGACCAGAGCAAGAAGACTGAATGGTACCGTCAAGGCGTTGGCTACTGGGAAGTCAGTGCTTTTGGCAATCTTCTGTTTGTGCATTTCTTTTTCTCTCAGTCATTTTGTCAAGCATGTTGTGGACGTTTGGAAAGTGTTTGATGTTTTTGGTTGTTTCGTTGTTTATGGCGAGAAAAGGGTGTGGAGGCCTCGGCGAATGGAGTGTTGGGAGGATATGGACATGTCAATGAGCCTGACATAATGGGCAGTGAAGCTTTTCTTAATACGCTTCTCTCTGAGCGTTTTCCTGATGCTGCTAATAGCCAACGCCACCTAGTTGTTCTTGGTACACAAAACTCTCTCCCTCCCTCTCTGTCTTTTTGTTTGTTTTAAGTTGCTTAAAATTATTAACTTTGTTGAGACCTTGGTTAAAGGAACCTTATTTATCTGGGAAAAGAGTTGAATTCATATTTAATAAGTTCATTTGTGTTAGTCATGTTTAGGGCCTGGCTATCAAGCAATCAAATTTGAGAAGAGCTGCAATCCAAATTTGGGCTCCCTAGTGTTGAATATGAGTTTTTGGTTTGTGGTTTTAAAATCAATTCAAGGTTCTTACCAGTATTTAAACTTCTACAGATTGTGGTTCTGGCATTGGGAGAGTCACAAAAAATCTTCTAATAAGATACTTCAATGAGGTGAGTTCAGTTTCTGGGCAGCACCTCCCTCTCCTACCACCATCTTTCCACATTCAGTTTCCCTGATATTCATTTCATATTACTGTACAATAATTTTTGAGGTCTTTAACTGGACTTGTATCACATGGTGTATGTTTGTCAATCATGAATAGTGGAACCAAATTTGGATAAGTTCCAACTGGTTAAAAGTGAAGTGCATCCGTACTATTAATGGCTCTTTATAATGGAATATTATGTTCCTGGTTCAAACAATGTACAAGACAGAGTTTCAATAGTATTAAGGCTATATCATGAGACCTCAAATATATGTCTTGGTAGAGTTGCTACTTATCTTTCTTAGCTTTCAAATTTATTTATGAGATGACAACCAATAGAGTTTTTTGCATCATGTGTGAGCTTGAATCAGGATACCAATATCTTTACCATGATTTAATGTATTGGATTTTCCATCAGACTGGATCTTCACATGTGTTTGTGTTACATGGAACAAATCAGTGTCACTATAACTTAATAGAGCTTATTATCCATTGTAACCTTCTCAAGTGAGTTCACACATTTATTCTCTTTGATTGTTTATTTCTGTTTTCTTGAAACCCCAGGTTGATCTTCTTGAGCCTGTATCACATTTCTTGGAAACTGCTCGTGAAAGTTTGGCTCCTGAAAATCATATGGCCTCTGATATACACAAAGCCACTAATTTTTTATGCGTGCCTCTTCAGGTAGTATACTCAAATACAATAATATTACCATAAACATTGGCATATGGTCTTGACATGCACAAACCGGCTAATTTTTAAAACACCTGCCAGGCAATTTTGTTTTCCAATGCACTCATTAAGTGTCTGCCTTTCTTTACTTTTTCTAAACATCCATCTCTTACCCTTGCTGAGTCTTTTGCAAACCTCTTGAACGTTTTTTGTTCTTCATTTTAGGAATTCACACCAGAAGCAGGAAGGTATGATATTATATGGGTTCAGTGGTGTATTGGGCATCTGACAGATGATGACTTCGTGTCATTCTTTAAAAGGGCAAAGGTAAAAACTCTTTTCTTGAATATTAATGTAAATTATGTTTTAGATGTCAAGGTATCTAGTGGGATTGTATCACTATCACATCATATACAAGTGTAGAGTGTTGAAAATGAAAATTAACTTAAAGATTGTTGCCTACCATCTTTTGACCATTTAGATCCATAAATCTATGAAATTCTATGAGTATTAAACCTTTGTTAAATCTAAAATTTCCGCACTCTCTGGTTCAAATTGAGTTTGGACTTTGTGAGGATAGTATGAACATGATTGACCCCTGAAAAGTTTGAACATGCATTCTGGACAGGATCCTCATTTGCCTTAAATTGCCGTAGAAAGTTACCATAATGCTGACTTTGTTTAGATCCTCTAAATTCCTAATTCCAGACTTCCAAGGTTTACGACTCATAAGTTTGATTACTGTTCCAGTCAACTGAAGCCATAATTCAACGTTTTAAATTTCTTTTAAAGCTGATTGTCACACAAGCAACAAATTTTGGAGAGCATTGATTCTAATGTAAAACTAGTGCCCTTATCCTGTACCCTATTGTTAGTTTTGTGTCAGAGAGTACTAACAGTTTATATGTTTACCTGTACTAACAACCTGATCTTTCTAGGTTGGATTAAAACCTGGTGGTCTTTTTGTCCTCAAGGAAAATATTGCAAGAACCGGTAATTTGCTTTCTGTTTCACTTCTTTTCGTTGTGGTTAAAGTTTCCATTTCACCTGTTTCCACTACTACTAAGAAGGGATGAGGAATAGGTACCCATTAGGTGTTAGGGTTGTGATAATTGGGGTGGTGGTGGTGATGCAGATGGTGGGTACCCACTGTCCATCCCTACTACTAGGGTTACCATGCTGTAAAAAGTGTATTTGTCTGCATTCTTTTTTGTACAGTAAATTTGATGGAGGATAACAACTTGCAGCAAGAGAATGAATAGTTGTGAACTGATTGTGTTGATTTGTAGGATTCGTGTTAGACACAGAAGATCGGAGCATCACCAGGTCCGAATTGTACTTTAAGGAGCTCTTTTGCCAGTGTGGACTTCATATTTACAAATCAAAGGTCAAATGTGAACTTTTGTACTATGTCCTTTTAGCTCTAGAATTTGATGTGAACATTATTTCGCTCTGTTTCTATCTTCTGCTTTTCTTTCTTTTTTCTTTTTTTGTTGCTGATAACTGATTAGTCTAGAATAGGTTCTCGTGGTCATTAAAGATTTCCACCCTTTAAGTTGTGTGTGGAGTATGGACTTCATGCCATATCAGTTGGTAGATTTGTTGCTCGTATTTGTTGTTCCTCGTATTGATGCCAATGTTCTTAATGAAATTGAATTCGCCATCTCTAACTGGAAATTAGTTTACTGGCTCATAACTTTAAAACAAAGTGAAGTAGTTGAGCATGATTATATATACTACCTAATTCATTTTGACCACTTATTGATTAAATAATCGTCTTTGATTGAATTTATATGGAATCTCTACGGTCTTCAGCATCAAGATTTGCTTGGTTTATAATGCCAGTTTTTCCTTACATCAGGATCAAAAGGGATTGCCTGAGGAGTTATTCGCTGTGAAAATGTACGCATTAACTACTGATTTGCCAAAGAAGGTCCATCGGACCAGATCTAAAGTGCAAGCCAATAGACCCGGTGTCATCAAGTGAGAACTTCCATCTTTAACTTACATAGAGACAGATTATATTCCTTTTGACAGTAGTTTTTGGTCCTGAGTCCTTGTAATATGCCATTTTCCCCTTTCCAATTGTACCCCTAAGTTTTGTGCAAGAACCAGTTCGTATTCAGCAGCAAATTCTGTATCTTGATATTCTTGATGAGGTGCATATTGTTTTTGTTGTTTTTGTTGTGTAAATGTAAGATACCAGTAAAGCCAGCAATAAACATTGTTTGGTTATGTTCACATTATTTTTCCACCCTGACTTTGTCTTGCGTCCCTGCAGAGCAAAATGATATTTGTGAACTGATAGAAGGGAGAGGAGAGAGTGCTGATCCAGATTAAGTAGAGTTACCAACAAGGACATCGATCTTAATACCGCAATGAAACGTTACAATTTAAAATATCCCACATGGGAGAAACAAAGCATTTTGTGATCACAGATATAAGAAAAAGATTTGTTACAGGAATCTGATTTACAAAGTTCCATGAATTGAAAAGTTCATCTTGATTGCATGCGCCGATGCCCTTTACCTCTTTCTGAATGTAACCTTTCATGATTATGAGAAGCTAAAACCCTGCAAGACTGGTAGGCTCTGCTCATGATATCAAAGACCTGACCCAAGCTGACTTGTTGGTTGCTTGATGCATCTGTGCACATTAAGCCCAGGCCTATTGCCTGTTTAGCTTGATCAAAAGTATTTTGTGTCAATTCCATTTTCTGGTCTATCACTTTCTGCAGATCCGCAGGATAATGCATTCTGATATACTCAATAAAACCAGCCTCACCCCTCTTGAATTCTTCTTCCGGCCTCCGGTTTACGAGCATCTCTAGTAGGAGCACTCCAAATTTGTACATCTCTGAAATGCAAAATTTAAAATTGTCAGATCAGAAGTTAACCAAGTAAAGAGAAGTAAAAGCAAACAGAGATAATTTATGCAGCTTCATATATAGATGTGACTTACTTCTACTGCGGCTGCTGCTTTGATCCCGAATCTTAAACCTCGAAATTCGGGGCTCCAGATTGTTAGACAACAAGATGCTGCTTGTCCTGAGGTCATAACCAACTTCAGGCCACTCCTCTAGATAACACATGCCGTCCACAACCCCCATCAATATTCTCAACCTATGGCACCATGGTGTAATATCTGACCCCATTAGCCACATCTCAAGGTTCTCTCCTTCCATCCATTCGGTGACAATGGCTTTCAGTCTTCGGTTGTTACACCAACCCAATACATTAACCAAGTTCTTGTGGCATAACTGAACAAGAATCTTGCATTCTTCGATCAATGTAGGGTGTCTTTCACCTCTGTAAATCTCTATCTTGACATCAGCACCATCTCTCAGAGTTCCTTGGTAAATATCAACTGATTCACTCTTCCCCATCAAATTCTTCTTCGAAAATCCATTGGTTGCTGCCTTAAGCATTGCTGGTGTAAACCGGTGCTTTGGTCGAAGCATTTGTGGGAGGAAGTCAGGCCTGCGGAAACAAAGCCATCCCAAGCAACACACCATCAGAATCACAAAGATTGGGAAACCAACCAACAAGAGTACAGCCTTGATCCTGAACCTTTTTCCATCCGGGAGGAGACCCGAATAAAGAAAGCTTGAAGAGTTAAATCTTTTAAAGAACGGGATATCAGAGATTTTACTCTCTGAGAAGTGATTATACGATAAGTTAAGGAGTGTGAGGTTGGTAAGGGGAGAGAAACTCTCTATTGGGACATCACCAAAGAGGTTATTATGGCTCATATCAAGAGCTTGGATTTGGGTGCATTGAAGAACATCAATAGGGAAATTGCTACTCAAAGAATTGTTTGACAGATCAATAGCTAAGATGCTCAAAGGGCAATACTTCCAAAAGAAGTTGAATGACAAGTAGAGTGGCGCTATCTTTGGGTCGTTTTGAAGGTCTATCTTTGGGAATGATTCGACACAGTTCGGGTTCTTGGACTCGTTGCAAAGATGGCTTGCGACAATGGTGGATTTGAAAACCTCATCAAGGTCCATAGGAGAGGAACTGCAATATCTGAGAGACGGGTTGTGCTGACAGTTTTTCAGGATTGTGGTGTTGAAATCATGAGTAAAGAATAATTGACTGACCACTTTATCTACTTTATCTAATATTCCATAGTGATGGTGTCGGCTAGTTGTAGTGTTATCATAGTTGTAGTATTATTATAGTGTAGTGTTATTATAGTGTCTGCTTTACAACTCAAAGGCTCTCTCGATACAGGTGTTAATATTCTCATCATCCCATATAAAAACCATCTCCTTGTAATCGTGTAAGATATTGATTTGATAAGAGAAAACATTTTATTAAGGTGGTTTTAAACTTTTAAGATCTTCTATGACTGACGCAGAGAGAGCTGCAGAAACTGAGGCTGAAACTATGACCAAGAGGAGGATGAAAGTTGTAGAAAGGGAAGCCATGGAGAAGTTTGTGTGTGTATGTGTTTGCAGATTGTCTTGATATATACTACTTTTAAGTTGTAAATTGCGTTCAAACGGTTACCAAGAAGTGGGGAGCCCATTTTTTCACGTTGAAGGCTAATTTTGGTGGTTACACTACGGCCTCGAAAAACAGTTTAATTTTTATAGCACATCTTTAATTTTTCATACGAAACACTTTTTTCTTGTCGACTATGGTCCTAATTGCGTTTACATGTGTACAACACACTATTGGATTATTTATCAAGAAATTTTAATGCTTCATAGCCCTCAAAGCATGCATGCATATGTCTAGTTTAGCTTTATTGGTTTGATATATTAGTACTAGCTAACAAGTCTTGCATTGGCAGTGAGGACGAGGTAATCTGCACCCCGAGGGCTAGAAACAACAAAACAAAGCTGATCTAAACCTCAGGATGCAGATTACCCGATCCTTACCCAATACGATCGATCAGTATACTTGTATATACATAGAGAAAGAAGACAATAAATTAAACCATTTGATAATTAGAAGGTCCGTAGAGCAGGAGGTCTGAGGCCAATCTGCATGCTATCATTCAGTATTTATAATCGTTCTTGAAGTAAGATGATATATTCTTTCTAGTCACAGAGTGATGTAAAAGGAGGCTGCACTGCATGCAATATGCAAAGAATCAACAAGATTTTGTTCCATGCATAACCAATGATAGAGGGTCGGAATTAATTGACGCAGCAGGAACATTTCTTTTTGAAAGACGTTGATATTTCTGGCCTGACCGCTTTTCTAAGATGAATAGACAAGATCATGGTAGCAGGAACTATATTCTATAAAAGATCCTCTCCAAATTGTTTTATTTTTAGAAATGTAAATACTTAAATTTGAAAAGAAACGAAAAGAGGAGTACAAAAGCACACACAAGCCAAGTAATAGCCTATAGCTATATATAGGCTTTATTAGTTCCTTCAAGCTCACCATTGATATTAAGTTGTATAATTGAGGAATCTTAAGTGTATAATTACATACCTGATCATCAGGTGGGATAATTCTCTTGCAAGCTATCTCTTTCGAAGATGATTACCTCATGAAAAGGAAAGGGATGCCACATTTAGATGTATCTGGTTTCATTCATGGTCTAAATCAGCTTTAGGCATATTCTCTATTCCCTTGGCTTTTGAAAGGCACCAGCTCACAGCGGGTTTGTATGGAGAAACTAGATTAATTTGGAACACACAGCGTAACGTGAGACTATATGTCACCGTTAGGATTAAAATGCGAATAGCTCTGATTTCGTACTAGAATGTGAGTATTCAACTCAAAACTAATTGATAATAGGTGGAGAGGCCAAAGATCATTTTAAACTATTACTACAAGACTTCCATTTCTAATGTGGAATAATGCTCTCAAAACAACGGTGAACGCAAATTGCCAGAAAAGTGGTATGGACCAATATTGGTAAAGCAAAACAAGGATTATTGCATGCATAGGCCTGATCATATAATGTCCCCTCCTGTAAATTATAATTCTGTAACTCTTCCAACATTGGAATACATGCCATATTTTTAACGAAAAAAAAAAAAAAAAAGCAGCAAATTTGTGAACAATCTAGGAGTCTTTCTTGAGACTGATCATATGCAATTATGTGATGCCACTTTTAGACTGTGTACACAAATTCCAAGCGTTGTCTATACCTATGACCACATATATATAAAGTTATTCTCTTATTCGGATGCCCGCACGTTATTATCGTGCGGATGCTGTTGTAAACAAGCAGGAAAGCAGGGAGGGGTAGTATAAAATACATGGCGTCCGCACTATAATAACGTCTGCATAAGAGAATTTCTATATATATACAATTATTCTTTTATCCGGATGTTTACACGTTTTTATCGTGCAGATGCTGTTGTAAACAAGCAGGAAAGCAAGGAGGGGTAGTATAAAATACATGGCGGCCGCACTATAATAACATCCAGATGTTCGCATAAGAGAATTTCTATAAATATATATGTAGTTTTACTCACATTACGATGACTGGATTTTAATTAAAATGCGAACATTAAAGGTGAAACGTTATATCAATCCAATGGTAGTGGCAGCCTCAAGTTTAATGATTATTGAACTAATTAATATTATCTAAAACTGAAAAGGTGGGCAGCTTAGGGCAGCCCAAGAGGTTTGCTTTAATTAATTGTTCAACGCCTTCATCTTCTTAGAAATATCTTCTCAAATAGGGCTTAAAGCTCCCGAAATATTAAGGCTTATTTTATGATATGCCCCCTGAAGGTATATTTGAGTCTCACTTTGTCCCTTGAAACTCATTTTTTCTCACTTTACTCATTTTTTCTCATATATTTGTCTCATTTTGTCTAGATTCCGGCGAGGCCAACAATTTCCGATCAAAATGTTAATTAAAAATTAAAAACTCAATTAATATACATTATGTTTTAAATATTTAATCTTATTTAAAATTGAGTTTTTAATTTTAATTAATATTTTAACCAGAAATTGTTGGCCTCACCGGAGGCAAAGTGAGGCAAATATGTGTGGAAAAGGGAGTAAAGTGAGACAAAATGAGTTTCAGGGGCAAGGACGGATTCAGGAAAGTGGGCTAATATTTTTCTTGGCTTTGGGGACTCCAAGTAAAATAATAATAATAATAATATAACATTTAAAATATTTCAAAACCATAAAGTAACAAATAAATAATAAAATAACATCTTTGA